TGCAGTCAAGTACGGGATTATCGACGTCATCATGTGATCGACCGATGCCTCCGTATTCTCAGCCAGCATGGCGCGCAGCGAATCTTCGGTGAGTGGTGGCGGACCACCAGCTGGGGCAGGAGGAGCAGCAGGATCCATCTCCGCGCGTTCAGCGACGACGGGGAGTGCTGCAGGAGCTACCACAGGGAGTGAAGAGTCCGGGGCAGCGGGCGCCGGAGGGTCGGTTGATGACGCTGCTGTCGGAGGAAGTGCAGCAGACTGAGGAGCGTTCGAACTCTCGGTCTTGCTCTCCTGAGAAACAAGTCGAGTAATGCGAGGTGATGAGCAAGGTACCGATGATTCAGGAGAAGGATGGGCTGACGTACCTCCAGCTGCTCACGTTCGCGACGTCTACGAGGATTGAGACGCTGAAAAGCGTCGGACACGGCTCGATTCAGACGCTTGGACATACGGTGACGAGATGGTGAATTGAAGAATGAAGAAATGTCACAACGGGCACCAGTACCGTGGCTTCCATTGCGACAGGGGCAGTTGTGGTGTAGTGATTTCTCCGTAGTTGCGGATTATCACCCGTCGACAAAGACGTGACACCGCCCAAGTTGTTCAAGCGACGAACCCTCGGTCAGGTGATGTACGGAGACGCCAAGGTGCAAGGGACTCGACGGCGTCACCTCCGAACGTTCAACGAGTATTGGATACGGGCATATGTCGCTGAATCCAGGCTGTCCTTATTATTAATAATGGACTGGTCGGATTCGCATTCAGCGGACCATCTACGGTACGAACCCTCAGTGGCGGTTGAGATGAGTTCGCGGAAGACTCAGCGACCTTTGGAAGACACGTTCACCGTCTGAGACAGGGCGCGGACCGTTAAAGATGCTCATGCGACGGTGCAGACGACGCTTGGCATGCAAGAAGATCCATAACGGATCATTTTTCACTTGATATTTGTATACTTGATTAGGACTTCTTATTAGGAATAGACCCGAAAGGGTAAGCTTAAATACAGAACAGAATTTCCACTCAAGCACACAGAGCGACGTCCGGCTTCAAGGTAAGCGTCAGGGTCAAGCTTGTTTGAGTGTGTTATGCCTGTCGGTGAACTTTGAAGCTCTGTAGCGAGGGTTCATCCGGCAAGGCCAAGAGACTTTGTGTATTGGCCGATTATTATCGGGAGGTTTTACGTGACGGCTTATTGTTGCCTATTTGCACGACTGGGAGTGCTTGTTTTGCCTCCCTTTTATTCTTCCTACCGAGTGTTGAACACTCGGTGATCTCGTAAAAGGCTTACCCGTGCCTGGTACCCTTCCGCTGTTGGGACCACGAGGATTCAAAACACCTGCTAGCTTTGCTCGTGCTAGTAGCGTGTTCCTATTTTTACTGGTTGGCCTATATAAGTAGTTTACAGGGTCCAGTTTGTCCCGGTGCAAGGGCAGAACTGGGGTCTTCAGGTCCGCCCGAACGATCGTTTACTATCCTAGTAGACGTATTGTTGTGGGAACATCCTAAGTACATTTTTAGCTAGAGTTCACGTGGGATTTCCGACACCACAGTCACAATCACAAGTACGACGAAGAACTTCAAGACTTGGCAAAGATAGCAACACATCATGCATGCGATCAGATTTAAAGTCAATATACAGCTAGCAATGAGGCGGATTACACTGTTGAACCCTGCGAGACTTCGAGTTTTATGTTCACTTTGAACAGCAAGATATCGTCAAGTCAATATGCAAAAAAATAAGTTCTGTGGCTCGTTCGATGTTTATGTCTTATTCCACTAACGTTATTATGTTGTTTCAGGTTAATTTGGAGACTAACAATTGTAGCTGTGTGTTCAACCAAACGCTTCTTCCCCCGTGCTAGCATATTATATTTTAAAGGCGCGAAAATGATTCTTTCCGATCCGCAATTCCATTTGAAACAATCCCAGAGCGATGGTCGATAGCTGAGGTCTCCAGTGATTGTGAAGATCCTGTATGTGAAGAACGAGACGCTGTGAGCTTGTCTGTGGGTGATGTTGCCTTCGACGGCTCAAATCGAGTTCAATCGCACAACCAGAAATACCGAGCAATATTTGCTGTTTGCCAACGAATTGCCGAGGGTGTCACTGATAGAGGGAAGCGAGGATTTACGAGTTGGTACCGCTATTTGAAGGCCTTCGATAACATGGTTCGTGATGACAAAGGTCCGCCAATGCTGGATGCAGAAAGGAACGGCTCAGGCACGCTCAGCTCAGGTGATGCAGGAGAAGCCGATGACGATAGTGCCAATATTGGTGGTATTACCACCAATATTGGTGATTTTACCACAAATTTGGACGAACTGGGTAAGAACAGTACCAATCCACCATGCATCTTGACCTCTGGACAGGATGTTAAGGTGGGCCTCAAAAAACCTCTTCGAGTTCCGCTGGACGAAGAAGAACAAAACATCCGAGAGACAAAACGGGCGTCGAAGAAGCTGTCTTCACTTTCAGCGAAGCGAAAACTTGAATTGGACGAGACAACTGAGAAAAAGCCTCCCCACAAAATATTGGATGATGATGTCAAAAGCATAGTAAAGCTTAATACAGCTAGTCGTCCATCTGGAAGACCAAAGCAAAAGAAAAGCTTTAAGAAGGCAAAGAGGAGCAAGGAGATTACGGATACTCTGGCGTATGTGGACACGGTCGCCACTGTGGGTGATGTTACGTTAAAAGTTTTGGACGAGGTTGTGAAGACACAACAGCTTGCAATAGCGATTGTTGGAGATGCTCTCGACGGTATCCGCCGCATATTCGATGGTGCGGTTTTCAAGCGTCCCAAAGCATTAGTGATCAAGGGTAATCACTCCCGTTCTGTAGAGAGTAATATCAGATTCGGCTTCCAGGTATGTAAATGTGTTATTATCAATATTTCGGTGATATTGGTGTCATCTTCACCAATACTTACCAACATGCAAACTCACTAACCAATATCTTGATAGAACCTTTGGTGATGAAATGCATAGACTCGGCTACAAACGTGAAGATCCGCGAAGAGCTATTTAATGACACAAAACTGGCATCAAGTGATATAGTGATTTCGATTCTTGGCGTTGGGACGTTTAGTCTGGTGGATATAGAGCGAATGCTAACGTGGCACGAAGTATCAAAGAAGCTGACCAAGGCCCGGAAGCTGGTTAAGTTTGTGGAGAAAATTGTTATTGATGACGACCACAAAGAAGTAGAGCGTCAACGCATCCTGCACATGATACCTTTCATGAGTGTCGACAGTGTTTTTAGTGCAAATGGCCACAATATTTCGCTCTTGGATTTAGCAGGAGGTGACCAATGGCTGAGTGATTCGTGTGTATTTCTGGCTTCGCTACGCGTTGTCAAAGAGGCAGAGCCACAAACCTGGCAAAATCCGAAATATGTTACGGTTGTTGACCCACTATATTTGCAGCTGTCAGATGTGGAGTGAAGGAATCAATACATCGATACAAAGGATCATATTTTCACGGAGATGCGCTCAAATCGCATCGTTTGCTGTCCAACGTACGTTGGCATCGAATTTCCTCACTGGTGCGGCATCATTTTTGACATGGAGCGTAAAATTGTGTGGAAGTATGATCCGTTCCACAAAAAATCGATTTTGGATGCAGTGCAAGAGGTTATAAGTGGCATTTTCATGAAATTTATGAGTTCTCACATGGAGATGCAAGCTAAAACATTTACTGGATGGCGCCAGTGTAATGGACACAGCTGTGGTGTATTGGTCGTGCAATGGTTCGAGCAGTATTTGTCACTGGTGCGAAGCACACCTCCCGATGCAAGCATTCCACTTGCCCACGATGATAAACCGGATCCGAAGCAGCTAGCATATGAGAGGTACAAGCATTTCTCGTACGTATTGGAAAGCGTAGTGACCAACGTCGATACTTACCATAAATAAACCATCTTTAGTCTATGAGTGAGAAAGATCTTCAAATTCATCTTGGGCTTAACACTTAGTGGGTTTGAGGAGTGTCGTTATTTTTGGTTTGGAGCCAATATAATATATGGCTGCAAGTCACTTGTGTAGCTACATAATAGTATAGAAAATTCTCTAAATACCATACAAAAACCGGTAGCGTTTTAAGGCATACCGATTCACTCTCGTCTGCTCTATGCACAAAATATTGGTGAACGTAGGGAGAGCCCTTTGCAATACAGTCGTGCACCTCCAATTCGGCAGGGCGGACCATATCAACAGTGCCAGGGCATAAGTGCACAACGTAAAGCAAAAAACAAACGCAAATCCAGTGCACTGATATTTTATTTTGTTAATTCAGTACAAAATTTACGCTAATTTTCTGCATAATCTTGGGCGAATCGCGGGCGCGCAACAGCGCTTCCGGTCGCGATAGGCGTCCGGCAAGGCGGCAACTTCCGCGGACCGCTTAAGAATACTCTGGACGGTAGTGCGCTTTACTGCTTGGGGGGTCTTAAAGCGCTCCGTTGCCCAACGAGCAAGTTCGGAGTGAGAGCATGCAGGATCTGACTTGTGCTTCTCGCACAAAGACTGCTTTTGTGGGACATGTAGGAGGAAGGGCGATGTCCCATTGTCCTTGGCGGTAAAAATCAAAGTGTGTGTTTGTATGAAGACGTCCGATCCAAAATTTAAAATCAGATCGATGCGGCGTGTCATCCAGGGGAAAACCGTTGAGATTAATTGCAAGGGTTGTGATGGGCAAAGGTAATTGCGCATTCGATTCGCGTAATCATAAAATCTGGCAGGGTATCGACTGATACCGGTGCCGAATTGGAGGTGCACGACTGTATTATAGTCACTAGCGATGGTACCCCTGTAATGGTACAGCTCTTAAAAGTGATGCCTCCGGATATGTAGTGATATTTCCGACGATATCACTACAAAGAGGATTGTCTAAGAACGATTTCATCGAGAAAGAGCTTCGGTTATTAACCAATGAACGAAATTCAAGTTTCCACCAATCTTCTGCATCTCTGTTTGACTGGCAGCCAGCAGACTTTTGTGCCGCTCTCGCCTTGGCCGAGTCATTCCCAGTTTCAAGTCCGAATCCATCATGGTGCGTGTGCCTCGTGCCAAGGCAGTAGAGAGAGAGAGCTAACTCTTTTGTCGTATTTCCCTTCTTCTAAATAATGCCCAGTCGAAGAAACCCGCAACGAAGGAAGTAGAGGAGGTGGTGCGTGTCGGCCCGTCCCTCAAGGAGGGCGAGCAGGTGTTCGGTGTTGCCCACATCTTCGCCTCGTTTAATGACACGTTCGTGCACGTGACCGACCTGTCGGGCCGCGAGACGATCGTGCGTGTGACTGGCGGAATGAAGGTCAAGGCCGATCGTGATGAGGCCTCGCCTTACGCCGCTATGCTTGCCGCTCAGGACGTGGCCGCCAAGTGCAAGGAAGTTGGCGTCACCGCTCTGCACATCAAGATCCGCGCTACGGGCGGCAACCGGACCAAGACTCCGGGCCCCGGCGCGCAGTCGGCCCTTCGTGCGCTTGCTCGCAATGGCCTGAAGATCGGACGTATTGAGGACGTTACCCCCATCCCGACCGACAGCACCCGCCGAAAGGGTGGTCGCCGTGGTCGCCGTCTTTAGGCGCGCGGATTGGATCGGGTGGGACTCGTTCTCAAGACTTACTCTGCTCGTTTGGTGGACGTTTGGAGCAGCTACTCATGGGCTGGGAAGTGCAGGTGGCTGACTATCTCTCTTTGCGTCTCGTAATGAGCTCTCGAGTTCTGTTGGCGTCACTGCTTTCGATTGGCTATTAGTGTAACCATGAGATTGTAATGGAACGAAACGCCTTCGTACTCGAGTACTGTGACTACTGCATTGAATTCTGTTTGGTCAAAACTCTTGTTCTACAGAGTCGCCATCTACAGGGGCTGCAGCAGACACCCCAGTACGCCAGGGCCTCGCCAGGACTGCGGCGTCAGCTCCAGAGCCAATATCTCTGTCTGTCGACGCACGACTACTCGAATACCGCTGCCAACGTTGCGCTGTACGATGTCTCTCACAGCCGCCAGCTCTCTGTGGTTGCTGGCGTCGGCAGTGCCGAAGCGTAGCACCTGGTCCTGAGCCTGCAGTCCCGCCATTTCAGCTGGAGACTCGTTCTGCACACTTTCGACCACTGCAAAAGGCAACAGGTCTCTCTCCTCGGACTTCACCTCGCTCAGTTTCTGTTTCCACTCAGTCTCCAGCTTCTGCATGCGCTCAGCCGCATCATTAACCTGTGCCTCTGTAGCTGCAGGCGTCGTCTTTACTATGCCGGTGCTTCGAGCCTCAAAAACCCTGATACGACATATCATAAACGCGTTAAAACAAAGCACGATGATACAACACGAATTATACTCGGCACTCCACCTTGGCAGCAGGGCCTCGATCTTCTCCATAGTCGTCTGATGGTCTGTCTGCTTGAGCGCTAGCGAGTGGCGAAGCTGACGGACGCGATACACGTCAATGTCCGCTCGAGGGAAGCCCTCGGCATCTACCAGCGGTCCATTTAGCCCTGGGTTGTCACCCGATGTCAGTTCCGCTACCACAGCCTCGATCTCGGCCTCGATCGCCTCCTTTGCCTTCACGGCCGCCTCATACTCGGCCACTACGTCGGTCATGATCAAATCTGGAAACCGGTAGGCGTCAATTGGCTAAAGAAATAAATCAAAGCCGCCACATGATTCGCTGAATTTCCATGTGTCATGTCAAAGTCGATGCCGTTCTTTGCCTGCTACCTCCTGACACCGGAGCAGCCTCCACAGCGCCTACGCTGCTCGTACATCGGCTTCACGGTGTCTCCGACGAGGCGCATACGTCAACACAATGGAGAACTCGTCAACGGGGCCAAGAGAACGCGAAAGTTCCGACCGTGGTACGTCGCACAGTACAAAGTGCTTTGAAGAGCTTCGTTGTCCCTAAAAACTACCGGTAGTAGTAGAGAAGTACTATTTACTAACTATAGTACTCATATTCTAGGGAGATGATCGCCGTCGTGCACGGGTTCCCGAGCAAGTTTCGAGCTCTTCAATGTGCGTCGTAGTTGACCTATTATCGAGTTATTTGGCGCTCACTCTCGCTCTCGCTACAGTTGAGTGGGTATGGCAACATCCTCAGGTTAGTAAAATCTCCAAGACCCACCTGGATTTTCTACGCGGATCACGAGGTCTGGGGGCTCCTCGATCCGTAAAGAGGAAGTTGGTAGAGATGTTGGAAATGGTGAACTTGGAGCCCTTCAAAGAGTTAAATCTGACTGTTAGCTTCACCAGTGACGAGATACACAAAATGGCTCGAGCATTTGGGGCGAGATATGCAGCTGCACACTGTGAGACGAGAGCATTGGAGTCATTCGCGGGTGTGGACAAAGCAGTGACCTCTTCCAAGTGTTTTGTATGTGAGTCGGAGCTGTACACGGAAGACGATAGCGTGGGCGTGGTGGGGTGTTACCATACAAGCTGCGACATGTGCTGTCATGCGCCGTGCTTGACGGACCATTTCCGGTCGCTAAGAGACGACGACGACGACGAAGCTGATAGTGGAGAGTGTCCTGCCTGTCAGCAGGTTCTAAACTGGCCTCGAGTGACGCAGCATCATGGACAGAAGAAGGGCAAAAGGAAGAGAAAAAGTGGTGACGGTAAAACACGCAACAAGAGGAAAGGGAAAGTCTCGAAAGCCAAGGGTCCAGATGAAAGAGATACCCCCAGCAGTATGAAGCCAAGGCTGCCAGCAGCGATTGGAACAAGCGAGAGACACAGCGAAATGGAAGTAGATGCGATCAGAATTGGCTCCTCTTTATCGGGTGATTCGACCGCCGAATATAATCCGGATGGCTGGTTTGAGGATAGCGGAGAGTATCAACATGATAGCGACGATGCTACGACGAACGAGGACGCAGGAGCTCGTAATGATCACGTGGAAATGATCGATCTTACTTAAAAGTCCTCCTGGCTGAAGGGAGATCCGAGCTCTACCCCTCTTGTACTTTCGGGACGCACATTGCAATGGGAGAACAGGGAGCCGTGTAGCAGTCCGAGTCCACCAACTCGCAGTCTTCGCGCTCGCTACAGCGATCCGGCGAGCACACGTCAGCACAGTAAGCAACAACAGAGTTGTCAGCTTCAACTTGCTCTTTGCACTCGGTGAACGTCGGACAGGTCAACGTTTTGCACGTGAGCTGCGTGTCTACGTCACATTCTCCTTCATGAATCACCGTCAGCGTTGGTTGTTGGCATTTGGCATTGGCGAAAAGACAGAGATTGTCGTGGGTTTGGCCGTCTGAGCCACAAACGGGGGCAAACGTGTACGGACACGGCTCAGGGATACAGGAGTCTCCGTTATAGTTACTGGTGACGGTGGTAGCTGATCGAACCGCCTGCATGTTTGGAGGGCACTTGCCAGGTCCAAACATCTTCACGTTAGGGTTTCGGCATTCGGCGTATTCCAGGAGACACAGATTGGCGTACGTGATGCCATCGGAGCCACAGACTGGGTCGTATACGCGCTCACACATGGGGTTACACTTCTCAGCTGTCAACGGAGCGTCGATGACGCTCACACCGACTTCCAAGACGTTCAGTTTGGTGTCTCCATTGCTCGAAACGCAGTCTCCACGATAGGCTTTTTCCACGTGTGGATTTTCACATTTTGAGGACAGGAGGTGGCAGTCGTTGATGTACGTTACGCCATCCGTGCCACAGACGTGATCAGGTGTCAACTTGCACGTTAGAGAGCAGAATACGGTCTTCAGATCCACGTCGGCGCTTTCTTCAGGGCTTGACTCTATTTGTTCAGCGGACAGAGGCTCGATTAGAGTGCCCTCTAGGTCGTTAGGGCATTCGCCCAGCGCTTGGATAAATAAAGTGTCTGCGTCGTGTTCCGAAGAGCAAAAGACCGAAGCAAAGGCGCAGCTATTGGCATAGGTGGTGCCATCAGATCCGCAAACAGGAGCGTGGGAGACCGCATCACACTCGAACGCTTTGCTGCAGTCCACAGCAGTCGCGGCTTCAGGGCCCACTCCTATATCGACTGGCTCAACACTGATGATATTATCTTGACTCCCGTTCTGCCCAGAGACAAGACTACATGGAAATCCGAACAGCAGGAACACCTTCATAAGTCTGACGGGGAGTTCAGCCACGGTGCAAGTGTCGTCAATGACGTTGATGCGTTTACTAAAAATACGCAGAGTAGTGAACCTTATTTGTTTGAGGTGAGTTCTTGTATGGTCTGCTAACTTTTGGATGATGAAAAGGTTGTTAAGTACATGTGTAGAATTAATCTTAGTTGACTACACTACTGTAGTAATATCTCCGACAGTACCAGTAAGACAGCAGTAGTAGTAACGCTGCTTAGAAATACACAAGACCATGCGTTTATTCTTGAGCGGGTAAATTTGACTTGTTTCAGTCGGAGCCGGTGGAAATGCTCTTAAAGCAAGGAAGCCATCAGTCGCCGAACCGTCGGTCGTTCTCATAACGCCAGTTGCGCGAGTGCTTCCACCGACACCATATCCGACGCCAGCATAGCAGTTCTGGGGGCCCCACCTCCGACATCAGCACCATCACCATTCAAAATGCCAATACTACGGTGGATTGCAAATGCATCTCGTAGGTCGAGATGCTTACATGCAGAAAGTAACTATCGCTTTAGCGTTGGGTACCAGCTGAAGACAACGATAATCACGAACGGTTTTTGATATTTTGGAGATAAAGGTAGTCGGCATTCTTCTTTGCGACATAAGTAAGGTAATACTGACCGTGTCGGCTGCACGAGGACTTGACGCCAAATACTGCATGGCTCATAGTGCCCGAGAATTCCAACATCAAGCAACAGGCCAAAGTGCTAGCTTGGCAGCTGCAAGCGCACACTAGGCGACCGCAAACGACAAGCGCTGACCCAATTTATACTTCAAGTAGGATTGTAAGGTGCAAGAGCGATCATTGTTTCATACAAGTAACTGATTTAGAATTGTATGTTAGCTGCTGACACATTAAATTTGTTCGCCATTACAGTAGGGCGATCTACACTGATGCTGGCGAATGCTGCTGAATTATTTTCGCATCCAATACATACTCTCTCACCATCCGCTTATACTACTGTAATCTTGTCAATTACTAGAGGATTGGGCTAATAGCGCATGGAGGTAAATGTTCAATTCAGTGTAATACAACATTTGAGGGAAGGCCAATCCTTTACCGGTAGTGTTACGACGCACCAACGTCACAGCCAGCGATGGCCATGACGTTGATACAAATGCGTCCTACTTCCTTCAATTGTCTTCCTAGATGTCTTTGCTGACTGCCAACTGTCTTCTTAAGTTGCCAATGAGCGGCCAGGCACACACACGGCTGACCGGAAGGCAATCGCCAGGTTTGGACGAGTATTGC